TGTATTTTTTTCATTCATGTATTATATACTCAATTTGTATCGATTAGTTATTATTGAAAATTATAATATAAGTAACCGTGTGTTTTGATATCAACTCTTAGAAAAAAAAATTTAAATTTTTATCTTGATATCATGATTTTCATAAAACTCTAATCTCTATGAAAAATATTAAAATAATCTATGTCTTCGATTTTGTCCAATTCTTAGTTTTTGACCTGAATTATTATCTCCTCTCTTCCTTCTTCCTTTGAAGATACTTTTGTGTATTTGTGAGAAAATGAGAAGGAATGAGAAAAGTTGCTGTTGTTTTTCTAAAGGTCTCTATTTATAGATTTCTTTTATCAACCGTCATATTTCATTCCAAGAGACATGTCCCAACATCCATGAAGAGAAAGAAGAGGGGTTTAAATTTTGAATTTCAAATTCAAAATAAAAACTCCATTGACTTAATTTATCCATCTCCTAAACAATCATCATATTAAGGTATCTTTTATTTAAGTCAATCTTTAATTTTACATGAGTCATTTTTAAGGAATTAATAAATTAATCCAACAATAATAATATTGTAATTTTGAATTTAGTTATATTAATCTAAAATAATAACAAAAATAAGTTTATTGTCTAATAATTTATATTAATATTTTTTGAGTTTTCTACAACCCGTTGTTCATATCTCGCTCTTTGATTATTAGAATTTGGTTTAATGTTTGTAATTATTCAATCAACTCTTCCTTTTTGACTAGTTCATTCTGAAAAAGTTAATAAACTAGTAAAAAAAAATTGTTGATTGAAGAGATACAATCATTAAACAAACTTCTAACAGTCAATAAGCGATATACGAATAATGGATGTAAGAAAGCACGTAAAACATTAATTAATGTAAGTTACTTTCTAACATAACTTAATTTTTCTTATTATTAATTTCTAATTCAATTCAAAAGCTTATATATTAAATGAGGGGTTGGTAAAACAGTCAAACCACATACGATATATAATAAACTCATATTCTAGGACATGTTAGCTCCAATGTACAATTAATAACATTATAAATATCATAAACAATAACATAAGCATTAACATATTTATACGAACACATCATATAATACTGCAAAAATTAACCTTTATTAAACATACCTCAAGAACAATATTTATCAACATACCTAACAAAATCATCAACACAAAATATGTAAATTAAATCATAAACTTATGAATAAAACAAAATCAGTTATGAAAACACATCAAAAACAAAAACATTTATGAACAAAATCATAAACTAGCATTAACATAAACAACAACCATTTATCAAGTGTACCTCAACAACAACATTTATGAACAAAATCATCATAAAGTAACCTTAACATAAATAATAAAATACTTTAACAAAATAACCACATATCTCAACAATAACTTAAACAATTTAAATACCTTAACAATTTAAAAACTATAATCTCACCTTAATAACAATAAAAGAATAAATCATATGTTGGACAAAGATAAATGTTTGACTTAGCTTTTGAACAATAAAAACAAAATAAATAAAACTAATATTTTGAACAACAACATGATATTATTTCTCATAAAATAATTCACATACGTATCTTTACTTGAAAAGATATGTGGAAAAAGAAAGAAAAAAAAAAGAGTTTACTACTTGTTTCTTGACATCTTTCCTTAATTTCTACTAGTTTGAGAAGTTATGTTGGATTTTTGTAAAGGTAGGATGAAGTTTTGAGAAATTGGGATAAGACGAGAGAAGTTAGAGTTTCACACATACAAAACAATATATTCTTAAGTGAATTATGTTAACTTATATAGGTAATATATTTCACAATGGTTATTAAAAATAATTGTGGTAATTTGTCATGATATTTCACTATTGTTGTTAATCTAGATTACGGTGACAAGTTTTTTATTTTTAGGCTTAATGCATTCTTTAGTCCCTTAACTTTATTTAATATTATACTTTGATCACTTAACTTAAAAACGTTACATATTAGTCTCTTAAAAACTATTTCGTTACACAAAATGGTCTTTTCTGTTAAATTTGCTAGAAAAAACGTTAACTTGTACTACATGAAAATTCAACATAATAACTCAAATATTTCTGTACAGAATAATTTTCTTATTCATTATTCTACACTTCCTTCAACAATTCACACATGTAAGAGATTAATAGAAAAAAATGTTATCATGTTTCTTCTTTCTCCTTTAAAAGAAACAAAACATAGTCTCTCTCTTTCAAATGAAATATGGTTTCATCTCTCAACTTCAAATCAAGATCGAAAATAAAAGAACGACATCGCATCTCTCTTCTTCATTAACGATTCTCTAGAAGACAAGTTCAAATTTGTTGGTGTGACAAAGGAAATATTACGGTGGTTTCGATTTGATGTTTGGTTCTTATAGTGAAACCATTAAATGTGTATTATTATATTTTTTTGAAAAAACTTGACGTTTGGATTGTTGTATTAATGCTGAAGTTGTATTTTTTTAAAATTATAAGTTTTTTCATTTTCATCATGTATTTCCTAATTTGTCAAGGGTTAAAAGATAAGAGATTTTCAAAAAATGAATCAGCTGCTAATGGATGACAAGATTGTTTAAGTGGTGTCATCCAAGATCGTGGCATTGGGTTTGGGCAAGGCCAAGATTCATGTGGAAGCAGTAAACATGGTGATTATGGTGTTCGCTTTCAATCTCTCATTTTCAACATTAGTGTTCTTTGTAATCTTATGAATTCTATCCATAACCATATCGTGAAGAATTGTTGTTATTTTCACATTGGTCATTTTCAACATCGTGTTTTTTTTTACACATAATTAACATTTTGTGGAGGTTTTTAACCTCCAAATACAAAACCTCTTCAGTTAAAACGAAAAACTATTTTTTTAACACATAAACTAACTCAGCTTATTAATTGATGTCTATCTGTCATATCATGTACTCATAGTTAATATGTTTTCAAATTTTTTAACGATAATAACCTTTTTGTGTAACGAAACGATTTTTAGAGAATCAATGTGTAAAAAAATTTAGTTAAAAGATGAAAGCAAAACATTTAATTAAGTTAAAAGATTTTTGAACTAATTATACCTAATTTTTAATTAAAATAAAAATATTATTTTATTTACGAAAAACATTAAAACTGAAGGTGTTGAATTTTAAAATGTGTTACTTTTAACGTATCACATCAATTGTTAAGTGTCACATGATTTTGTAATATACTTGTTAAAAGAAAGAAGTAAATGTCATTAACAAGAGAAGAGTGACCACTAGTTTAGTTTTTGACACATACTTAATACACAAGTGCAGTCTATAAATATGCTTAAAATGAGATTAAAATTTGTTATTGTAATAAAAATATAGCTACATGTTGTGTTCAATCTCAACTATCTAATTAAAATCGAACAGTTAAAATTAAAATTATGTCAGTGTAATTAAAATAATATTCACTCATCCTAAACTATAAGATACTTTTGACAAGATATTTTTGACATTTAAATGTAATTAATATTGTATAGAAAAAAGAAATTGTGTTTGATTTTATAGTATTCTTCTTCTTTTATTATGGACAAAAAAACAAATTTAAAAATCGGAAAAAGAAATTGCAATCTTTCCTGTCACAAAATATAAGAGAAAAATATATATTTTTTTATAAGAGAAAAAAATCAACTTTCATCTTTTTTTAAGATAAAATTAAATATAAATTGTATTTAATTTACTTTTTCTTATCTTTTCTATAACTAACCACAAATTGTTTTTACATTTTTCAAAATAATTTATTTTAAATTGTAATAAAATTACTATTATGTTTTTAATTTTTTTAATAAATATGATTTTTATTTCTCTTATATTTTAAGATAGAGAGAATAAAAAATATTAAAGAAAATATCATTAATGTTATATATTAAAATTGTAAAATAGTTTATAATTTATTTATGATTTTTTTTTACCCGATAATTTATAATTTAGAAAAAGTAATATATTTATAAATTATTATTATAAAATTGAAAATACTCATACAAGTTATAGTATTGTGCCGATCTCATTCACTCACGACATTCCATTCACTCAATTTGATGTTAGAAAATTTATTAATTATGTTTCTTAATATATAAAAAATATATTATTTAATGAATAAATAATATATTTTAATTTATATTAAATTGAAATATATTAATTATTAAATTCAAAATATATATATAATAAAGACCTAATATTATTTTTCTCAATTAAATAATTTAATATTTAATTTGTAACACCAACTCATCTAATCAAATAAAAAAAATTATAATAGACTCTTTATAGTAGTATATTTTTTTAAATTAATACTCATAGTTTATGATATAGTTACAAAAAAAGTGTATTGAAAAACGTAGATTTAATATTATTTTACAAAGAAAACAAGATGCATGATTAACGTGGGTAACCACACCAAAATATCAAGCATGGATGGACAAAGAAAGAAAATTCAGCGTGCGTGTCTAGATACAGTGCAGTGGTTAGGAAGCTGCAATGGTATCTCTGCTATATCTAGTAACGAGGCCCCAAATCAATTACGCAACCCATCTCCACATAACACATGTCCTTCAACTTCTCTAACCTCAACAAAAGCATAGAGTAATAATTTACTGAAAGCAACGTCTATAATGCCACGTAACTCTATCCTATGACTCTGACTACGACCTTTCTCTTTCTTTCTTTTTTCCTTACCAACTGGCCCCACGCAATGTATCGCTTTCATCCACCATCCACCATCCACGTACCTCTTTTTTAATCTCAACCGTCCACGTCTCCTTCACAAAATGACAGTTTTATGGTCCTTTAAATTTCCACCTGTTACACGATTAATCATCTCTTTTGAAATCAACGGTTTGGATTTGTTGTAATTCGGATCTCGCTATCAGATACTTTAAATTTGCGTCTTCTCCACTTCCGCCGTTTTTACCAATGCTTCTTTAGTTTTTTTTTTCCTTTAGTTATTACATGCAAAAACGACGATGAAAGACGTGAAACGACACTCGCTGGAATCGTCTTTCTCGCGAGTTGAGGCGGTTAAGAAATTGGAAAATGTTCAGCGGAGAAGGTTGAAAATTCGGCGAATGAAGTATAGCTGCCAAGCGAAGATCCACGTCGGAGATGACTCTGCCGGTGGGGAGGAAAAGGAGTTTCATGAATCGGTTGAGATATCTCTGTCGTTGGCGAGCTCGTCGTCGTCATCGGAGGAAGAGGATCGGGCGTCGAAGCGGAATGATGAAGATGAAGTTATATCTTACGGTTCGGTGTCGGTGATAGGGTGCAGGAAGGAAATGGAGGATGCGGTGAGTGTTGAGAAAGGTTTTACGGTGAAAGAAAATCAGAAGTGTGATTTCTTTGCTGTTTATGATGGTCACGGTGGAGCTCAGGTGGCGGAGGTTTGTAGAGAGAGGTTGCATCAGGTTGTGGCGGAGGAGGTGGAGAGATGTGGAAATGACGTGGAATGGGACTGGGAGAGAGTGATGGAAGGGTGTTTTGGTAAAATGGATAGAGAGATTGCGGGTAATGCAGCGGTTAGGACTGTGGGGACCACGGCTGTTGTGGCAGTTCTGGCAACGAGGGAGATTGTTGTTGCAAATTGCGGTGATTCTAGGGCGGTTATGGGAAGAGGCGGCGAAGCTGTGGAGTTGTCGAGTGATCATAAGGTGCGTATTAATAATATTAACTTATATAACTATAATTATTCAATTGTAGATTGTACTAATTAATTTAGAGTAGATAAAGTTTTTCATTGAAAAGATAGTTATTGTATGATAATGAAAATGGTAAATCTTTGCGTGTGCATAGCCAGAGAGACCCGATGAGTTGATGCGGATAGAAGAAGCTGGCGGAAGAGTCATAAACTGGAATGGCCACCGCGTTCTTGGTGTTCTTGCCACTTCACGATCTATAGGTTTGTTTCAAACTTTCAAATTCATTCTCTTATGCGATCAACTTCAATTTCAATATATGTGTTGTAACTACGTAATATTGATGCATGCAGGAGATGAGTATCTTCGACCATATGTGATATCAAAACCTGAAGTAACTGTAACAAAGAGAAGCAGTGATGATGAATTTCTGATACTAGCAAGTGATGGTTTATGGGGTGTGATGTCCAGTGAAATTGCGTGCCAAGTTGTAAGGAAATGCTTCAAAGGGAAAATAAGGAGAGTTTGTGATGGGGTTGGGAATCAGACTAGTCGTGCTGCTGAAGCTGCAGCATTATTGTCTGAGATAGCATTGGCAAAGGGTAGCAGAGATAATACCAGTGTTATAGTTGTTGACCTAAGAGGAACATTAACATCTAGTTGACGCCTCTATTTTCAATCAAGGTTGTATGCCCTCTAAGATATTATTTGGTATATATAATAATCGTAATTAGTTAGCCTCCTAAGTATGATCTCAAATGCACTCTTTTCAAATTTTAAAATGCATTGTTTGTTATCGATTGGAATTTATGAGTTTCATTACATTTTAAATAGATTAAACCATATTATTAGAAATGAAACACGCATGTGTTATTAGAGGGTTTTTTTTTATTTAATTTATTTATTTAATTATAAATAAGCAATCCTAATTACAAAGGAATTGAAGGGAAAAAACAACAAAATCTATTACGGACAAAACAGATTTATGGATTAGATTTTCACTCCTTCTACGAATGAGAATTGGATCACTTAAACTTAGTTCGATATCAACTTTAGAATATACGTTTAATAGATATTACGATATCCATATTAACTAATAGACCGTCTTTGAATCAAATACAATTCCTACAAAGTCACAAAATTCAACTGATACCATATCAAAAGAAAGAATACAATATTTCACTAATTTACTTTTTACAGAAGAACACCAAATGAGAGGCTGATATATGTCATTTTGGATGCCCGATAAAAATTCAAAACTAGTCAAACACTTTGTCCCAAACTTTAGAACTGATTTTGCAAGGTATAAACAAATGTGTATCATCTTCATCATCATTGAAGCAAAGAGGACAAACCTTGCAAGGTATAAACAAATGTGTATCATCTTCATCATCATTGAAGCAAAAAGGACAAACCAAATTAGACGCTCCTTGAATAATTTTCCGCTTTACCAATTGAAACTTCGTTGGAATTCAACTATGCGGTAACTTTCAACAAAAAAACTTGAACCTTGCTTGACACCTTCGTCTTCCAAATCTTGCAAAAACTCTTCATCTGCAAGTCATCAATTACAACATATTCACGATTCTGATTAAAATGAGCCTTTAACTATTTTTGACCGATGAACCATTATTGTCACGCCATCAAACGAATGTATCCTTGCACCCTTTGATCGGTTTAGCCGAAGCGAGATTAGACAGTAAGTTAGATAAATGATCTTTGTCTTTTGAATTAAGATCAATATTTTGAACTCCTAGGCTCCACTTCTAAATTGTTCCTGAAATTCTGTTTCTCAAAGGACAAATGTCGAACACGATGCTTCAACAACGAGTTCGATAAGATAAATCAGAACCATTATATTAACAAGTAATAGCTTATGGAGCAGAAAAACAATAAAGAACACAATAAATTATTTATCCAGTTTGGTGAAACCACACCTACGTCTATGAGATGAGTCCACAACCATGGAAAAGAAATTCACTATTAGTAGCTTAGTACAATTAGTCTCACAAACAACAACAAATCATATATTGTTCAATGCCTCTTCCTAACACTACAAAATGACTTTCTATTTAGAGTCTCCCGATAAATATGAGAACTTACACCCTTTCTTCTCAATTACACAACACGTGATTGGAGATTACAACTAAATAATCAATGTTAAATACTACCACTCAACTCAGACAACCTTTTATATCAAATTACTAAAACATAGAGGTACATATACATCAATAACAAGGACTCAAAAATGAACCCTAACCTTCTAAATCTTCAATGTATACTTGACTTCCAATGTAGGTTTTAAGCTCCTTATATAGTATAATAATTCTGGGCTTTTCTCCTTGGATAATATATTTTATTTTGTCCAGAATTAATGCAGAACTTGTTAGTTATATGATTTGTTCCTTGAATATTTCCAACAAAATATGATTTATTTTAATTTAAATTCAAATTTAAATCTCCATTTTAATTGAAATTAATCTATATTCAGCTATCAAACAATTTACCTAATCATATTGTTAAATCAATAACAATAAAATCTTTAACTAATATTATGCAGAACATACTCTAAAATGCAACAGTCTGGCGCTTGTTGAGCAAGACTCAAATGTCGTACCAACATGTTGGAGCATCGTGCCTAGCATGTATCCTTTTTATAGCTTAAACAAGTTATACCAATCTTGAATACTTGGACACTTCTCCGTGTTATTGTTTTGTCAAATGTCATACCAACATGCTGGAGCATCGTGCCTAACATGTGTTTTTTTACAACTTAAATAAGTTAGACCAATCTTGAATACTTGGACACTTCTCCATGTTGTTGTTTTATTAAATGAAACCAATCCAAATAGCTAATTCACTAAGAACTACAATCTCCCCCCTTTGGTAAATTGTGGCAAAACAACTCTTCAAGATAAACAACATTTCTTCCATCAGAACAAGTGGCTACCAACAAAGCTACTGAGCATATAATTAGCAACAATAACCATCTCTCAAACTATCAGAGTTATGCATCAGCAGCAGCATCACAAGTCAGAAGCATCGGCATTCAGATGCTTTCACATAATTCACTCAGTTGCTCCAAACCAAATAATCAATCACGCAATTATTCACATACTTAGTCATGCATGAATCTAGTTAGATCTTACTTAGATCTTAGTTAATAGCATACAATCCTACTAACTAACATATATCAGCATGCAATCATTCATATACTTAGTCATGCACACATAATCAGTTAGTAATTGATATCAGAATATGAAAGGAATACTATTAACACATATCTATTTTCACAAATATCAATGTCGATGTCTTGCCCAATTTTCCAGCATGGAACACATCATTAGCACTTACCGGAGATGGTTAGTACCAAACAAAACATGTGTTACCTCAGCACTCAGCATCAGTATTATACTACTCCCCATTTTTGCCATAATTTGGCAAAAGGTTAACATCAAATAGCACCTAGATGTCATTCATGCATAGGTTAGTATGTTAGCACATACACAATAAAAAACATGAGTAGAACAACCATAACATAATCCAAAGATGCACAAGCATTAGATTTGATAAGTTCAAATAGGATAAAGAGCCTTTAAAATTCCAAACAAAACCTCCCTAAATATAAGGCCCAGAACAAAAAAATTAAAACATCCTTCAGACTAAATCACTTGACCAACAACCTTAACTATAGAAAGGTAACATTGTCTTCATCATCCTCTGAGCTTGAATCATGAGTTTGAACATGTTGCTTCTCCAAGTCCTTCATCTTAGTAACTAAAGTCTTCCTAGGTATAGTTTCTCCAATTGATGATCCACCATATTGAACTTCAACACTTGCATGAGAAGAGAGGCCATCTTCCTTGTTATTTTTCAATTTGTCCTCTATAGCCCTCTCATTAGACTTGCATTAATCATTTACCATCTTGGTGGCATCTTTCTTAGCTTTTTCTTGGTTCTAAATCATGTTGAACAACAAACACCTTTGTAGGAGAGACAAATGAGAGTCCTTTTTAGAACGAGATAAGGCTAACAGACCTTTTTTTCTTGCCTATATCGATAGTACATGTATAAGGAGTGATTAGAAAAAGATAAATCACCCTTAATAAATGTGCATTATATAGTGTAGGAGAGAGATGTTGACTTCATCTCCTTGCATATTTCTCAATATTTAGTTGTTATAGGATCTCTAATATGCATACCCCAAGTGCACTTTTAACTTTTCAAAGCGGGCAACATCCAATGGCATGGTGAAAATATCTTTCAGTTGCTTGTCAGTAGCTATGTGCTCAAAATTGACCACTTTATCTTCCACAAGGTCCCTAATGAAATGATGGTGAATGTCAATGTGTTTGGTTTTGTTGTGTTGAACATTAGTTTTTGAAATATTGATAGCACTTAAGTTGTCACAGAACAATTTCATAACATCTTGTTCGATATTGTACTCCTTTAGCATTTGTTTCATCCAGAGTAATTATGTACAACTGCTTCTAGCAGGAATGTACTCATCTTTAATAGTAGATAACGAATCATGGTTTTTCTTCTTGTTGAACCAAGAAATCAAATTATTGCCAAGAAAAAAGCATCCTCATGATGTGCTTTTTATGTCATCTACACTTTCAACCTAATATGCATCAAAACACCTTACAATAATGGGATTTGTATCATGAAATTACAAGATGCCATAGTCATAGGTCCTATTTATGTACTTCAATATTCTCTTCACTTGAGTAAGATGACTAGCTTTAAGATTGGCTTGGTACCTAGCACAAACACCCACAACAAAGGTGATATCAGGCTTGCTAGCAGTGAGATGTAACAAACTTCCTATCATACTTCTATAGAGACTTTTATCAACATCTACTCCATTTTCATCCCTAGAAAGCTTCAAGTGATATGTAACATGAGTTCTCTTATGGCCTGCATTGTCAAGACCAAACTTCTTCATTATGCTCTTGCATACTTGCTTTGAGACACAAAAGTATTGCCTTCTGTTGTGGTGGAAATAGGATATCAAACTATTAATTAGTTTAAATCACAATTTTAATTCACAATCAATCCTTGATTTATCCGAAGGAAAAGGTCAAAAGAGGGAAAAACCTATTTTTTTGCATCGTAAGCACAATGCGGGGAGAGACCTAGGTAAGGGGTTGGTTAAGCTTAGGGAAGGTATTAGCACCCTAAACTTCTGTAGTACTATACAAGAACCTTTTGTTTAGTGTATGCCTTTTTATTTTTATTATCTGTTTGAAAATATATACTGTGCTAAGGGATAGAATGACCTAAAGGACCTAAGGGTTAGTCCTAAGTTTACTCGGCAAGATTCGCATCTTGTGCCTACATATCCTGACGGGAATGAAATCAGAGTAATTGTAGTTCCCCTCGAAAGGGAGGTTAGAAACTTCTTGACTGTGGTCAAGGTTTCAAGGGGAGTAAGCGTTTCTTAAGGAAACGCTTACGTGGAGTCTTAAAACTCACATTTCTACGTTGAAATTGTTAATTAAATTAGGGTTGAAATTAGGGTTGATTAGATGTTCCACGACGGGAAACCCTAAAAACAGAGTACGACGACTTTTTGACCTAATGTTAGGGTAAAAGGCGTTTTCGTCCACGACGGGACGCCTAGTCAATTTAGGGTTTTGAAATGGTCAAAGATTAGGGTTA